TCTCCAGATGCATTTGAGATATCAAAAAAGTACTCCAGGGTGTTGTTCAGCATGGGGCTGAGTAGAAAATGAAGGTTAATCATGTTTTGGGTGTACTATTCCTTTAAAGGGAGTATTAAATTGTATATGAATATTTACAGTTACATATAGGATTTAATACCAGTATATGAAATCTGTAGGGAGTGTACAAAAATACATTTGATTTGATGTTTTTTCTTAACGTTACACTTTTTAAAATTGTATTTACTAAAAGTGAGTATTAATTTGTATATGAATATTAACAGTTATGTATAGGATGTTATAACATTTTGTTATAAAATTTTGTTGTTTGCAAAAACCATGTCTCTATTTAATTTTGTATAAATAAATATCGATCCATCCTCTTCAGGTTGTCCGTGGTCGAGTCGAGGTGGTTGCAATTCATTCATATCGTGGGTTTCCCTCTGGGTCTCCTCCCAGTGTGACGTGCCCAGAGCACCTCACCAGGTAGGCATTCAGGAGGCATCCTAACCAGATGCCCGAGCCACCTCAACTGGCTTTACTCGAAGTGGAGGAGCAGTGGCTCTCCCCCAGATGATCAGTCAAATTGATTCAAAGTTTTCTATCTACGGAAAACCAGTTGATTGCAATGACTCATTGACTCGATAGCAATCCCTCACACTAAGCATGCTTATAGCAAAAGTGGAGAGGAAAAACTCCCTTTTAACATGAAGAATCCTCCAGCAGAACCAGGCTCAGTGGGAGTGGCCATCTGCCGAGGCTGACTGAGGTTCAAGGAGACAGAAGTAGAAATACAAAAGGCAACTGTAAAAAGCAATTCACAGTCTGAGAAACAGGACTACACTGAAAAAAAGGCTGATCTCCTGCATCTATAAACAAAAGTGTTGATGGCAGCAGCACAGCTGATATTTCTCTCCAGGATGGTGTCACAGCCAAACAGGAACAGACGAGGCTATTATGAGAAAAAACAGAGAGAGCATAACATTAGAGTTTGAACTAACAGATTCTGCAGAGTTCGAGAACTGAGATAGAATAAATCAGAATGATGAAAAAAGGGGTCCCTATGTCCTCCAGAAATCTAAACTGCAGTTTGTGGACTTCCTGAGAGTAAAGAATTAAATTAATCCAGCTTTGAAGTAACAACTGCATGGACTACTTTCTTAGTATCACCCCTGGACAGGATTTTACTAATTTTTGCAATATTGCGCAGATGAACGAAGGAAACTCTAGAAACCTCTTTGATATGGGGTTTTTATGTCTTGAAGACATGCCTGTAATCTATGTAACGGGTTAGCTTCATCTGGTATTTATAGACAAATCTAGCTGAGTATCATCAGCATAACAGTGGAAATCCCATGCTGTCTAATAATTCTACCGATTGAGAGCATATATTTAGTAAAGAAAATTGGTCCTAGCACTGATCCCGGTGGTACTCAACAGGTAACCCGTGAGCATGAGGAAGATTAGACATTAACATGAACAAACTGAAATCGATCAGATAGATAAGATTTAAACCAGTCTTGTGCTGTTCCTTTAATTCCAACAAAATATTCAAGTCTTTCTAAAAGAATATTATGGTCAACTGTATCATGTAAATCGATCAGATAGATAAGATTTAGATTTAGATAACCAGTCTAGTGCTGTTCCTATAAAATATTCCTATAAACTGTATCAAATGCAGCACTGAGATCTAACAGGACGAGCACAGATACAAGTCATTTAAATCATAATGGGTGTAATTCTGTAACCTCTTTGTATTGACCTCCATGACCAAATTATAAAGGCTCAGTGAATGAAACAACAGTTCTACCCCCTCGTATTCAGCAAAGGTTTTTTCCCTCTTAACAAAGATGCCTTCCTTCATCCCTCTTTTAAACCATATATTTTCTCTGTCCGACATCTGAACAGATTTCAGAACAGTTCACCTTTGGCTACCTAGATATTTTCTAAAAATAGAGGTTGCTGCCGTGTGCAGATTAGCTCCTAAAAAATAACTTTGTCTTAACTTTAACTAATCTCATCTTGCCAGAAACCAACAGATGCATTGCAGAGCATGTGAGCTGAGCGGAGTGTGGAGCGAGCGGGGGAGCAGAGCAGAGGAAATACGGTGGTGCGCAGAGCGCTTTTCAATTCAGAGGCCGGAGCCAGGATTTCGGTCCACTCCAGTTCACTCCAATGCACTTACAAGGTCATTTAAAAATGTTGGATTATAAAATTTGTAAAATAACATTTTTCTGATTTAAGTGTGGTACAAAGTGGGATAAAATATCATAAAATCAAACACTAACCAGACTTAACAATGAAAAGTGGGTTTACATAAATTGATTGTTGTGGTAAGAGCCTGTATTTGAAAATGGATCGCATACATGCATTATACGCTATTATCTCATTTGCAAAGGGATGCGAAGTGACCTTTTTTACTGTAGTCTAATAAAATGAATTAATAAATAAATAGGAAACGTGGGGCAACATAAATTGAGCGAGGTGTTACGTTTACAGCTGGAAAATAATACAATAATTTAACAGCCAGTTGAATAAACGCTGGGTGTCCCATGGCCCTAATAAATGTCAGAAAATGCCCTGTCCTGAAAATCTGAGCAAGCATGGAGTGATTTCACCAGAGCGGGAGGAAAATTAAGGTGAGTGCAGAGTGGATTTTGAGCAGAACATTCTGGCACTTTGAGTGGCGGAGCAAATGAGTGATCATCCTCCTGAGCGGGGAGAGGGAATTGTACAGCACTCCGCTCAGTTCACATGCCCTGATGCATTAGCCTCAAAACAATGAAATGCAGTGACATCTATGATGTCAAAACGTCATCCAAACGGGAAAGGCTGAAAGAAAACAAACATGGCTGTGGCCGTTTTAACTGCAGTAACCTCTATTTCTTTTTGAAAAATGAGCAAAAGGACGCAAATATACCATTGTGGATAAAAAGATTGAAATATTGTTGCATTTTCCTCCAAACCATAATTCCTAACAGTTTGATTAACAGTAAAATCGGTGAAAATATTAAGGAATGTGATACATCTCAGCTGCAACTGCTGCTGTCATTGACTAAAAACTCGAAAAGAGAGGCAGTTACCCATTTAGCTCAAAGAATTGTCCTGAACGCCCTTTTGCATGTTTTGTGAGGCTTCAAAGATTGATACGCATAGAAATCAAATTGAACGATATGTATCAATCTGGCTTATGCCAGGTTATTAAATTACCTCTCCCTGGTCGGAAAAAAAGTGGGAGATTTTTCCAGTGCCAGCACAATGTACTTAAGGTAGATGATTCCATGAAGGAGCCCTCTTTCATAGATATTCTCCAACCGCTTGTTTTCACAGGTCAGGGAGGGGCTGGTGTTCATGAAACAAATTAAATACCATTTTGTGCATGATTTTGAAAAGGAGTTTGCCATGCAACAGGAGGGTCCAGCTTTCAGTGTCATTGTGTCCTTGGGCAAGACATTTTGCCTGCATTGTGTACTGATGGTGGTCAGAGAGATTGGTGGCATCAGTGTACGGCAGCCTCACTTCTGTCAGTGAGCCCCAGGGCAGCTATGGCTACAAGGCAGCATTACACCATCCCTGGGTGCATGAATGGGTGAATGACTGAATGTAGTGTAAAGCGCTTTGATCAAGTCCTCTGACGTCATATAAGTACAAGTCATTTAGCATTTATATTATAGCAAAAACCTCAAAGACAATTTTGCATTATAAAAGTAAGTTAATGACATTTCATAGTTATGAATGGATCTCCATACTGTTTAAATCGTTTAAATCAATGATCTGTACCGTTAATGTGAAATGATGACACATCTTAATCACCCATGAACTTTATTTATAAGACCTACAATTAAATTGAAATTTTACAATTAGGCTATATCGAGCTGAATTTTTTTAATGCTTTAAATAGTTAAATATGAGTAAAAAAAAAAAAGGAAGATTAAGGCATAAAAGAGTCCACAACCAAAACATGTTCCAACATATTTTCTTTACCAGAGGAAAAAAAACTCTTAACCTTTGCGACTGTTAAAAGTGACATGCATAAAAAACTAAAGAGGTCAGTTATATATCAGTATTTAACATATTATACTCATATAATGGATCTTTATGTTGTCCGATTTAACATCTATTTAAGTAAAACAATCACCACAGAAATAACATAGCAATCTGGTTAAAGAAAATCATTGAGATTTAAACTGAAGGTAACCATAGCATTGTTGAAGCTGAATAATCTAAAAGAGTTTCAAATGATGAATGCTCATCTTGCATTTCATACACAGAGGCATTTGTCGTAAGAAAACATCTTTCTAAGGTGTCTATAGATTTTTTCTATCTTTAAACCATATATTATTGGATTAAAGAGAGGATGATACAAAACCACCTGTAAAGTCATTATAAAACGTGCAGTTCTATCCAAGTCAATTTTCAGTCGGGCAATAACAATATCATAAGAACACAAACAAGAGAAACTTATCATAACCAACAGATGAGGGGAACAGGTCTTTGCTGCTTTCTTTCTCATTCTCGCAGAACTTCTGAAGGATATTATTAGTATTTTTATGTATGTAAATAATATAAAAATCATTGGTAGGAATACTGTATTAAGTGCAATAAAAGCACCATATGTAATATATGAAGCCCTTGAAGTCATACAAAACAGCTGTGAGATTGAATTATTACAGAAAATCCCATTTAAAGTTAAGTGACAGACTTTGTAATTCTTACTGATAAAAAGCGAGGGCACAAGCTGACAGGCAGGTAAAATCCAAGCTAATATCAGCAAAACAACCACAGTTTTTGTTCTCATAATAACCTCATATTGCAACGGTTTACATATAGACACATATCTGTCATAAGCCATGGCTGATAGCAGTAAGAACTCAGCACCGCATAAAGAGTAATATGTAAAACTCTGCAAATTGCACAGAGATAAAGATGTTATCTGCTTCTCAGATAAAAAGTCGATCAAAAGTTTGGGATAAATACAAGTGCTGAAAAGAAGTGAATTAAAAAGGAGAGCTCCAATGAAAATGTACATAGGCTCGTGAAGGCTTTTCTGAACCCAGATGAGGCTCAAGATGGTTGAGTTACTGCAGATAATAAGAACATATACAACAAACATGATCGTAAAATAGAGATATCTGTATTTGTGCAGCTCTACGTGCCCACCAAAAGTTATAATTGTAACATTCAGATCATCTGTCACTTTATCCATGACAGCTACAGGTCAAAAAACATTCTTGTAGGCAGTTTCCATGAGCTCTTCTAAAGTGTCCAACTCAACATGTGAACTAGCTCTTATCTGAATTTGCCCCCCCTCTGTGGATCTCATTAAAGTGTTTACAAATAACACAGCAACAAGTTAGAGGCAGGAAGCTTGAGACTATTGGCTGCAGAATTTCACGAATTTAGTTTATGGAAAAAAGTTTTAATCAGATTTACTGTACAATCACCATCAATACTATCAACTCAAAAATGTCTGCTAATTTGTACCGAGTTCGGAGCGCTTGTGGCGCAGTGGCTAGCACGCACGACCCTTGTACAGAGGCCTTAGACCTCGATGTCCCAGACCCGGGTTCGAATCTGAGCTGTTGTCCATTGCTGCATGTCTCACCCCCTCGCTCATACCCCATTTCCTGTCAGCTTACTGTTCGCAAAAACGAGTCACTAGTGCCATAAAAAAATTTGGTCCCAATGTTTCTTTCTGTTGTTCGGCGGATTGCCTTCTAAGCTGAGGTCACTGAGTTTTACTGCATTTCTGTAGGGTCGTAGGGAGCGGCTGTTCCAACCGTTGCATTTCTGAATTCTCCTGAGTGGTGCAAGACTGTACACAGGTGAATAAAGTGAATGTGATCAGTTGTATATCAAGGGGGTGGGATTGTTGTGGCGGAAGATTGGCAGGCAAGTTTGATTGTGGCCAGTTTCTCAGAAGCATCTTGCTAACCAGTTAGCAACTTAGTGCTAGTAGGTTCCCAATGGCAAATTACATTGGGTCCAAGTAGCACTAAATCTATGACTTAGAAACAACAATATCAAGTAACGCTATGGACAGCGGAAACATGCAAAAGGAGACAGTTTTGTGTCGGAGGTCGAGGATGAGTCTCCTTCATCATACGTTTTTTATTTAGAGGAGGAAAGCAGGGACAAAGTTGTTGCTGTAGAGGACTGAATTTAAAATAGCAAAGGACTTTTTACAGTGTAACTATTTATGAAAATCCTTCACCCAAAAGGATTTATGTGTTATTTGACTAATATCATCCCTCTGCTGAGTCTTCGTGCTTTAATAACTGTTGGGATCCTCAGGCTTGCCCACCAGAGGGCGCCGAGGATACTCTTCTGTCTCTTGTTATTTTCTCTTAGGGCTGGAGTTACTGTTGGGATCTGGGGATTACCCTCTGTCTCCAGCAGAGTGCGCCGTGGGTCTTCTGGAGCTGGAATCTTCCAGCACACCTGTTATTCATCTACTCATCAGGAGACCTCCCCTTTATAAGCTCCTGCCAGACCTTGCTTCCACGCCGCAGTGTTGATCTTAGTTTGGTAGCTACCTGAGCCTCTGTTACAGATTTAA